TCGAACTGTAAACCCAATGCCAGAGCGTTAGTCACAAGCTACAGCCCCGCTCCTGTGCCAGGTAAGTCAACTACGGGGCTCACCATATTCCGTGCTACATGGAACCTTTTGTTCTCAGTAGCTAAATCTTAAACAACAATGCAGGCGATGAGTCACAATAACGTGGCTGAAGTATGTTGACCAGACCACACACTAGAAGTGGAAGGGACGACGACGTTTCGGTCCGTCCTGGACCATTCTCAAGTCGATTGAGAATGAGAATGGTCCAGGACGGACCGAAACGTCGTCGTCCCTTCCACTTCCAGTGTGTGGTCTGGTCAACACTTAAACAACAACATTGCGCTTATGACTGTGTTCAGGAATAAAGTACGTACTGGTTGGTCAGTGTTATATTAATGGCCTTAACAACCCTCCAGAGGTTGATAGGCCTCCACGATAGCTTATTGACCAATCAACAAATATACTTTTGCACTGAACATAGTCCAGGACAAAAGTATATTATCAGGGTATATTCACCGAGAAGCGGGGAACAACTTTGGTGTACATATCCCTGTTCGAAGCAGTGTACACCTTTCAGTGTACATGGGGGGTGAGTGGTTCCAAATCTGAGATGTTTGGTAGTTTCTCTACTAATTGGACGGGCCAGTGACTATGTACTGGTGATAGATAAGACTGTAACTGGTCCTGTAGCACAGCAGTCTATGTCTTCGACTCACAACCGAGGGGCCTGACTCGGAAGTTATAGTCAACTATTGTGAGTTGCATCCAAAAGAAGGTTGGTCGTTGGCCTAGGTCCTCGAAGTCAGAGACGTGTTGGTGGCTTGGCAAGAATGTGGCAATCAACAAAACCTGTATTTACACAGCCCAATTTAACAGATAGAGATCCAATGCTGAATGTTCCCTGATTCTGTTCGATGGAGTTTGCTGTGTTTGGTGACTGCATGATTCTGCGGTCTTCTAATGAGGTTTTCTTCTTTGCTAATGAATTTGTGTCTTCAGAGTTATGAGGCACTCCTTCATGTCATGCTAACGTTGCTGCCTCTCCTGGTGGCTGTCCTGTTCAGTTTTGTTGTCTGTCCTATCTTTGTGTTTCTTGTTGTTGTTTGTGCTGGTGTATATTCATATGGAGGAACGAGACTTTGCTCTGATCTTGTCTTACTGGTGTCACTGTAGACCGTCGTAGCTCGTTTTTAGATTCCCCAATAAATTATTTAACGTTTAGGAAGTAATCGGTGATATATTGACACTGGTTTTGGAGAACATTGGAGTCCTCTCTGGCGTGCGGAAGGAGGTGGTTGACTGTGGCTAAGAGATCCAGGTAGCAAGGAAGGAGTGATAGATTGATGAAGATTACGTTGGAGTAGCACGGGCATGAATAGTCCGTAATGAGAAGGTGTGTTGTTGTTGTTTAAGATCCGCTACTTGGGACCAAAAGTTCCAAGTAGCACGAGCTATGGTGAGCCCGTTGTGGACTTACCTGGCGCAGGAGCGGGGCTGTAACTTGGAGAGATAGGGTGTGTCATCGTTAGAAACTATATAATGCCATGAGTTGCCATTAGTGGGGTCAATAGAGGCTGGGTCCATTGTGTTGTGCGGGAAATCATTCGATTCCTCACTTCCCCCTCAATCATTTATTGAATCACTCATTTTCTCATCTCCCCTCACTTCACCACTTCTTAATTCTATCTCTTATCACCACTTCTTAATTCTATCTCTTATCACCACTTCTTAATTCTATCTCTTCGCCACTCTTTCCTTATCCTTTCCATTCTCACTCATCCCTTCATCACCACTCCCACCTTCACCTCACGCCTTCCTCACCTTTCCCCCTCACACCCTTTCCTCTAACCATCCCCCCTCATCAATCCCTCATAACCTTACCTTCGTCACCCATCCCAGCCACACCCCCTCCCTTCCTTACCCATCCCCTTAACTCCCTCTCCCCTACCCCTCACCGTCCTCACCGCCTCGTCTCGGGCGGGCGCACGTTCAAAACATTAGTGACAAACGGACCATCACCAAGTGTGGTGCTTTTAAAATTATCAATTGTAACAACGTAAAGTGTCTTGACAGACATCAAGATATTTTAGACGTGCTGAAGACAAATACACATCTAGTACACTACACTACACTACACTACACTACACTACACTACACTACACTACACTACACTACACTACACTACACTACACTACACTACGCTACGCTACACTACACTACACTGCACAGAAATCACAATAGCTTGATGCATCAAATGAACAAATCCACAAGGGCCGTGACGAACCCCGGTCACGGCCCTTGTGGATTTGTTCGCACATCTAGTTGCGTGCATTATTGAAGACCCAATGGACTCTGTTGTGTCATCGTGGACCCAAATACACTCCCTACAGCGTCATGGTGGACCAAAATGCACTTCCTTCCAACGTCACGCAGAAGAACCCAACTACTCTCCTTGCAGTATCATTGAGATCGCTCGCTGCAACATTGATCATATACATTAGCCGCGGTGTTACGTTCAAGACTCGCTGTAACGTTAATTAGTTTAGATCATTTATTATGTACCCCCATACCTTTCTTGTATGTGGAAAGGGTTACAGTGGCACATAATGGGCTCAGGGACTATACCCAACGATTCATTTAATTAAGTAAGTTACAGTTACGTTATGTGCCGTGGAGCAAATGGCATATTGCAACGTTTGGTTCGACCCAAATAACACGCAATACAGAGAACATAAGAACATAGGTTGCTGCAGAAGGCCTATTGGCCCATACGAGGCAGCTCCTATTTATAACCACCCAATCTCACTCATATACATATCCAACCCACGCTTGAAACAATCGAGGGACCCCACCTCCACCATGTTACGCGGTAATTGGTTCCACAAATCAACAACCCTGTTACCGAACCATTATTTACCCAAGTCTTTCCTAAATCTAAACTTATTTAGATCGTCTGAATTTCACGAATACCGTCATTGCAACAGATTTGCTCATACGCTTGAAGCACAGAGCTCCATGTATTGCAGATTACAGTCTCACAAGGTTTTTTCTAGTGCCTCTATAGTATCATAACTCAAAGGTATTTCGTAATTGTGAAGTGTGCAAAATATCTAAATACAATTTCATCTCTTAAGTCTACCACGCTATAAAATCGTTTTCTGTTAATTTAGACGTCTAAATGGAGGATTGTGTTCACCGGTGAAATCTTGTATGGAGTTAGCGTATTTTCTCAGAGGTTTGTGGCTTCTTATATAGAAAATTAGGCATTTTTTCGTTACCGACATGAAACAGCTCAACGCAGGAAGTTGCAGACAGCTGGCGTAATTAGCAGACGTTTGCTGTGCAGGGCCATGACATGGTGGGCTGTAAACTTCCGCGTATTAAGCTTATTAAACAAACTCGTGAAAGTTTTACTACATAAGATTGTTATACGACATGTAGCATATACTTTTGGTTAATAAAAGGCAAAACGAAACTATTCTCGAATATTTATTCGAAAACTTCCCTTGCTTCTTTAGTCAGTTTTTAAATTGATTAAGAATCACATTCTTTAGGTATATTGACTTATACTTATGACCAGTGATGAAACTAATTGGCTTGTATGGCTAATGTGCCGAGTAAGAAAACAATTATTTACTTGAATTACTTGAGGGTCATTAACACTCTAGTGATTTCGACGAGGACAGAAAGCCGGCGGCTTGTCAAAGGTCCCCCCCATTTGTCCTGATAATTTTTTCTAGGTGGATTTTAAAATTCAAGTTTAGGCATTTAATTGTGGCATCAACAAGTAGGCGGTTCCATGGGTGGGTGAAAAGGCACCTCCTGTTTTCAGTCCAACATTGTGACTTGTTGAGCTTGAAACCGTTGCTCCTTGTTTGTGTCTGTTGAAGAATGAGAGTTTTTGACCTCTATGCGTACTAGTGGCTTTAGGTATTGTATGTACTAGCTCTATCTATAAATCCAACATTATGTTTGTAAAACAACTATGTATGTACTTTCCTGAATAAAATTTACTTTACTTTAAAGTCAAAGGTACACTATATATACATATATTTAATATTTTGATAAAATATTTTGATAAAAAACAAGTAAAATGGTATAGTAACCATTTACCATAGGTAAATGGTTACCTATACCATTAAATGGTATGGTAAAATGGTAACAGGTATGAGTTACGGAGGAAAGCTACGGGAGCTAAACCTCACGTCACTGGAAGACAGAAGAGTAAGGGAAGACATGATCACCACTTACAAAATTCTCAGAGGACTTAACCGGGTGGAGAATGACAAACTCTTTAGCATGAATTTGTTTTAGCATGAGTTCCCCTGTTCCTCACGAACAAGGGAACACGGGTGAAAACTGAGTTCCCAAATGAGCCACAGAGAAATTAGAAAGAATTTTTAGTGTCAGGATAGTTAACAAATGGAATGCATTAGACAGTGATGTGGTGGAGGCAGATTTCATACAGTTTCTAATGTAGATATGATAGAGCCTAATAGATCCAGGAATCTATGCACCAGTTGAGAGGCGGGACCAAAGAGCCAAAGCTCAACCCTTGTAAGCACAACTAGTTAGTACAATTAGGTGAGTACAGTGATGTTTGCGTTAGGAAAAACAGGTTCCCAATGCATAAACGAGGCCATGTCAGCATCATTCATAAGGAAAATGGAGCAGATTATTTACCTGAGTGCCACACACTCTGGTAGTGGTCCCGACGAGGACAGGAGGCTAGCGGCTTGTCAAAGATCCCCCATTTGTCCTAATGATTTTTCTAGTTGGATTTTAAAGTTTAACAGAATTTTGGTATTTACGACATCGGTGGATAGGTAGTTCCATAAGAATAAGCTATACTGGGTTGATGTTGTTTTAGATTCAGGTACTCGGAACAAAAGCTCCAAGTAGCACGGGCTATGGTGAGCCCGTAGTGGACTTAATTATAAAAATTCAATAAGAATTGTGCTGGATTAAGTTTGGGAGGCGAGAACCACCCCCTCCCTCCGACCCCCAAACCCTCCGTGGCTGATGCTGGCATGGTCAGTGAGGACAGTCACTCGTGCAGCTATGGAAACTGGTACTGTCTTATCCACTGTCCTCTCTATTGTTGTTATTTTCGCTGCTTTTTGGTATAGCGGCGATGATGACGGCCATGCGATGCTCCACAAAAGGCTGCAGCATGTCCTTCATGCCATGCTGGAGGTAATTAGATGTGGGGTTTGCAGACGTGTTATCTTTTGAGTACGTGGGACATGCCATGTTATCTTAACCCATTAGGGAAACTGTTGTTACATTTTGATGACTTCTCAAGTTTGCTTCTTCTGTCATTATACATGTCACTGGGAACACTTCCGTAACACCGGTTACAGAAGTGTTCCCAATCTAACGTAATAATTTACTAAACCAATTTACTGGTGTGGTAAATTGGGAGTTTGTGAGTCTAACTTGATAGTTCAGAAATGAGAATTTTTAAGGAATCCACGCAAGTCAGAAGTGGCAGATGACATTTATGTATGAGCTGTTGGCACTGTTATAGAATGACCACATCTGTGGTGGCAAATAAAGTTAATTATTCAGTAAACAAGGATAAACTTCAGTTAGACGATACCTCAAATATCTACCTAATCCCATGTCATTTGGTTCTCAGCATAACTGAAGTTGTAATGATTACAATATATTGTGCTGAAATTAGCATATTATTATAAGACGAAGTGATTAAGAAGGGAACGTAAGTGTAGCTCAAGTTATTAATAACCAACAAGCAGTCTAAGTCGTTATTTAATATTAATAACTAACAAGCAGTCCAACTAAGTCGTTATTTAGTTATCTCAGTCTTGTCATTCATGAGATTTCTGGCCATATTTACCTGAATTTACTTAAGGACCACTAACACACTAGAGTGGCCTCGACGAGGACAGGAAGCCGGCAGCTTGTCAAAGGTCCCCCCCTCATTTGCTCTGATCATTTTTTCCAGCTGGATTTTAAAATTTTAACAGAACGTTGGCATTAACGGCTTTGGCGGGTAGGCTGTTCCATGGGTTTATAACCCTGTAGGTGAAAAAGCCTCTCCTGTTCTCAATCCTACATAGTAGGTTGTTGGACTTGTAACCATTGCTCCTCGTTTGTGTTACATCTGAATTCATAAGTGCTATTGGAAATGTTACCCCAGTAAAATGTTTGAATGTAATAAATCAATAATTTATAAATACTGGTACATGTATATAAAGTTAATGTTTATATTATAATTTATTATTGGTTTAATGTACCCAGTAGTCATATAAATCTAATTTATTTATCAATTCATGTTCCTACATAACACAGTACTTAAAATATCATAATTTCTTTAATACCTGTAGTAAATTTTTGTCGCCAGTAATTGTCATAATTCCTACTAATATAGGTTTGTATAAATGCTGAGAGGTAGACCTTTCTAGAGCCTGATATTTGTCTGATATCAACAGGTAGAAGAGCAGCATTCAGTAGGCGAGGTACGTATCGCAGTGGGCTACGGAGCATGTAAAGATGTATTTGTGCAAGGTTCCGATTTAATGGGCATTATGACACCACCACAACGTACAGCACACTTCAATCGTATAGACTCGATTAAACAACTCAAGGAAATGTATGCCCTATTTTATACAGCTGGATCGGCTGCAGAGTAAGTTATTAATTTGAAAGTTGGTTTTCAGATTGGAATAAATGTTTGTATTACTATACTGTATTTTTTTATCATTAGTGAATCTTATTTTTATTCTAGTTTTTTGTTTATCCTAAGTGTAAGAGTATTTATTTGTCATATACAATAATTGTATGTGTGAATGGATTGTCTCTTGAAGGAATTGATGAACCCCCATTGCCTGCCTTTAGTGATGCAAACATCTCTGGTTATATCTTGTGGTGCAATAATGGGAGAAGAGACGGGTGAAGTGTCATTCAGTCCTATAAAAGTGGAAAACAGACATGTGATGATAATGATTGTAAAATGTATATTTCTGAGTGTGATACATTTACATAATAGTTTCTGTTGCAGTGTAAGGGCGGTGAACAAGTGATAGGCGGAAAACATCACCAGGTGGTAGTGTATATGCATGACAGACTTGACCAATAACATGCTCTAACTCATGATTTCTGCTGGAGAATGCCATAGGCCTGCTGTACTCTCCCTGGCCGTGTGTTGATTGCCAGAGCATTTTTGTGATTGCTGATTTCTTTTGTTCCTGGCTTCTATAAATGCAGATTTTCTGTTTTGCTCTAATACTAAAGAAATGCAGTTTTAATACAGGTCTCCAATATAAAGCAGAGTGGTTTGGAAATATAATTCTCATGTATAATTACTTATTTGTTATGTGCTGATTCAGTAATATTTTTCTTTAATTCCATGGGCAAGTGGTTTTGTTTATGTGAACTTCATTGACAATTATTTCCTAAAGCGAGTATTTCTGTGATGTATTTTGTTATTAGTTGTGGCTGTTCTGCTATCTTTATATTGAGCATATCTAAATTATAGCTTTATTTGATGTTTGATATTATTTATACCAGCTAACTTTTTTGTCCTAGTGCTATGTACTCTTTGCATTTTTTTTAACTTGGTTGAATCATTAAATTGTATTTCTGTTAAGGGCATTTCACAGGGCAGAAGGGGATTTAGAAATCAAAGAAAGTTTCAAAGCATTATGTGACAAAAGTGTGCTGAGAAGATGGGACACTGAGCATAGCTTTCATCCTGTAACTGCACTTAGGTTAATAGTTAACACATACACATACACTGTATCAAGGTCCCCTGCACGGTCGAACTAAGGACCATTCCAGGATACAACCCATCAGCAGTTGCCCCTAACTCCAAGGTATCTATTTACTGCTAAATGAATAGGCCCATTAGATGAAAGGAAACATATCCAATCATTTCTGTCATGCCTCTTATTTCTTCAGGATCTCTGAAAGCTTTTTACTGTATTTCCTGTATATAAGAACAGTGTTTCATCTGATTCATTCAGTGTAAATTTCTTGTTTAATAAATGCACATCAGTGACATGTGAAATCAAGGAGTAAAGTAATGCAGTAGTCATCACAGTCAGTTCACAACCAAAATGTCCTCGGTTCTTTTCCCATGTAGGACAGAGATGTTTGAGCATTTGCCTTTACACCTGATGACCCTACTTGCCTAGCAATAAATAGGCACAGTACTCAGGAGTTAGGTAGCTGTATTATGAGTTGCATCCTTGGGAAGGTCAGTTGTTGGACAAGACCCTAGGGGAAACCTTGATAAGCTTAAAGGATTCCTGTCCTTAACAATGGGAAACCAATGGATGTTTACCATAGTAAAAAATGGTTTTATCATGCTTTCACGGTTACCCCAAAATACTGTGTTCGAGAGATTCACTTATGGATGTTTATGTTTTTAAAAGCTGTACATATAATTACAATATTGGATTATATTTATTATATAGTTTGAGAAAAGGAACAGCCACTGAATTATTATTGCACTATCAATCTCTGAGATTTTCATGGTAATAGATTGTGTTACATAATATAGTTGTTATATTCACTGTATCTTCAAAAGGTACTAATTTAAATTTAAAAAGAGTGATGATGTTTGTCATAGTTCTTTGTACTAAAATTGATTTTGGCTGGTTGGCTGAATAATGTATGCAGTTTTAATACAATATGGGTACCCTAGATGATAATTATATTTTGTTTTGTTTTACAGCTTCTAATTTACAGTTGTTCCTGATTTTGCACTCTTTTAAATAGCTTTAGATTACCAAATATTTATCAATGCTTTACAGACGGTATGTGGGAAATGAGACCCTCTTCAGCGAAATTCTGGCCGCAGCAGAAGCCGTTTCGGAATCGTACTCGGCCCTGGGAGGTAATGCACCAGTGATGGCTTCTCGATTTGCTTTTGAAGGAGCCAAGGTGCTTCTTGCAGCTAAGCGTAGCCCTTACATAATGGAGAAAGTTCATCCAAGTATTGTTGGTAAGTTTGTTGGAAATATATTTTGTTCTCCATTAATGCTTCTGATCTGTATTTCATAATAATACAGTATGTCTTGATAATAAGTTTACTAGTGTGATTACATTATTTGATTTCCCATTTTCCATCAGTTGGGGGTGTTGAAACAGACGGTGATGACGATATTCACCTCATATTGGAATACAAGGCAGGAGAAAGATGGGGCTCCTACCAGGCTCCTCGTGCTAACAGGTTTGTTGCCTTGTTACGCAAGTTCATTTAAATTAATATAATGCTTGTTAAACATATATATTTGTTGTGTGTGTAGTTGATTGCTGTAAAAAATACATTGAAATGAAATGAAAAATGGCTGTATGTACTATATTTCCATTAAAAAGTCCTACAACTATGTATTCTTCTTGTAGGTTTATCATGCATAGTGATGATAGCAACCCAACTTTAAGCACTGTGGAATATTTTGGTGAACAGCTGGAAGCGTTTAAGCCGCATTTGTTTGTGGTTGGGGGACTGCAAATGATGGATAATTTTCCATTTCCTCCAGGTAGGAAGGCTATTCAAGTTTTGTTTATGAAGTATTGATTGCTTCAATGTATTTCAATAAATGATACAAGCACTAGAATTGAGAAATATGTACAGTACAAACAAAATATTTACAAAAGACAAATTAATGATTTAATGGTTGTGTGATAGAGGCTGTGTTTATGTTAATAAAATTGTGTGTACAGTTTGTAAATCTTGCAAATATTGTTGAAATTTTAATTTTATCTTTATTAAATCTTTTGTTGTATAATTCACAAGGCACAAAAGAATGTGCTGCAGAATATTATGACTAAGAATTTGAGTACAGTGTACAGTAGTGGCAACTATTACAGTATACCAGGATGGGGTCATTGCCTGACACTCTAAACATGGTTCAATGATACCATTACCATTGAGACACGTATATGATGTGGCATTTCCAGTGATCTTTTTTTTTTTTTTTTTTTTTTTTTTTTTTGAAGGGGTGGAGGCCTGTTTTTTTAATATACCAAATTATATATATATAGAGTGCTACACTGTAATGTCAGCTGAATTCCAAATTACTTGTGCAAGTAATGTAATGCACACCTGAGGTTTTTCATGTTCCAATCTCATAGGGGTACGGGAAGACCGCCTGCTTGCTGTAAGGGACCAAATGACATCACTTCCAACTAGTACTAGAGTTCACTTTGAAATGGCCTCGTTCACTGAGCTGGATCTGCTGAATGGGCTCATCCAACATATTATTCCATATGCAGATTCTCTAGGGATGAATGAACAGGTAAATGATATATTGTTGTAAAGTGCATTTCCATTCGACTTGCCTTGTACTAGGTATCTTTGGGAGTGATACCCAATTGTTTTCACAGGATATGTTTTGTTTACTTTTAAGACAAATTCTTGGTGTCCGGGCACTGTCAATTTAAATGTTGGATTAGGTTTGCCTCTGAACTGCCTCAAGAATTTTGGTAAAGGGGAAGCTACCTAAGACAGGAGAGCAATATTCTAGACAAAAAGCAAATAAAAATTTTGTGTAGCTGAAATAACAGGAGTCATTAAATGTATTTTGAAACTAAAGAAGAAATTCAGATACAGTATAACGAATGTAAGTTATAAATAGCTCATATTTGTAGCTGCAGAATGGTTTTCAAGAACATGTATTAGAGTGAATTTGGAATGAAATAATCATTAGAATTAAACATCCATGATGGATCTTTAAATCCAGAGGGTCCCCAGTAGTACAGTCGGGTTCGTTCTCGACTCACAATCGAGAATTCTGGGTTCGCACCCGGGATGCGAACCCAGAATGGTTGAAATGGTTGGGTGCGTTTTCTATCACCTGCTCCTGTTTATCTAGTGGTAAAGAGGTACCCAGGAATTGGTCACCTTGTTGTAGCGCTGCATCCTGGGGAGGGTCAGTAATTCGAACCTTGGGGAAACCCCGATATAAGCCTAACATGTACTGTATATATAAACTGGCTACCTGCCCCAAGACATGAATTATTATTAATAAATCAATCATTACCTGGGAATCTACCAACTCTTTCGAGTGAAGCTGCATAAATTAGGCAGCACATATATATAGTTAATGACATTATGTAATATTACACAAGATGTTATAATATGGTGGTGATACAATAGCAAGGGGAGATTTGCTTAAATATTTAAGATACCTGTATATGACATGTTATAGCTAAAATACCTAGTGACAATTTTTGTTGGTGTTTCACAAATATCTAACCAAACGATGACGGTGTAACTCATAATTCTACCTCATAAATGGATTGACTCATAGATACTGCTCTGGTCCCTGTGATGTGAGTGTGTATCACCCCCTTGCTGGGGACATAGCTCATGAACAACAACAATATATAGGGAGATCATTGTATGTGGCTGATGGACTGTACTGATTACAGATTTGAATGAAGGCTGATGTGCTAAGACTATATATATTTTACATAACTCGTATTTGCAGAAAACTATTTGTTTTTGGGTATTTTACATTACAGTATATCATTTTGTTAATTTCAGGAGTTGCCAAACCTCTACAGCATGATGAAGTACAGAAATGTTAGTTTAGTGTCAGATTTTAACCCTCGTGTAGCAGTGGTACTTGACCAGATGAGGGAGGTTTTCCAGTAAGTTTGCTGTTTTGTACATTGTATAAGCATTACTGTCTTGTAGTAGATTGTATGAGCATTACTGTTTTGTACATTGTACAAAATTTTGAAACTGCCTGTCTTGGAAAAGAAGCTTTTGAAAGAATTTTTTCTCCTTTAGTCTTTTGGTAGTAAATGAAGAGCAAATTACTCTGAAATGTAAATTTTTGAAGGCTCACAGAAGTCAGAGAGGTCATTCATTGCTGAGGTAGCAGTTACATTAAAATACAAATGATTCATTGAAACGTCTCTTAGAGCAACTGAAAAGAATATTGCTAAGAGTATGAGTATTGTCAAGTAATTTTATTTTTTTAAATAAATTTGATCCTGTAATTTACAAATAAGTGTTTTCCGTTTATTTTGGGTGTATAAAAATGTTTCAGAAGCTTATGGAAAATTGTTTTGTTCAGTCTGAGTAACTTAATAATGAAATGCAAATATTTGCAGACTGCTCAGAGCCACACCAGAGATGGGTGGACGGCGTCGACTGACGAGACTGCACCTGCACACTCTTGCCTATCAAACCATTATGGTGTGGAAGGACTCACAGTGGACCAACACCCGAGCTGCTGCAACCAAAGCTGCACTAACTGCTAATCGCCACGTTTGTGGTAATCCTAAGGTAAAAGAAGCAGTTCCTTTATATTGTACTAGTTAAAGTGATCAAATTATTAATTTTTTTGTATATTTTCTCATAAACTGGTTGTCTATTGTGATAGACAACCAGTTTATAGGATTCACTAGCAAGTGTTTGAAGTGGTACTGTATTGTTTTTAACATTTTTAAATATAAATGTATCCAAGGAATAAAATATCTGGAGAATAACCAACATGCAGCTAGTGACAATCTTAGGGAAAGTTCTATTAGGGAAATGAGTTGAGATGGAAGACAGCAAAATCTTTCCTTATTTTCTACTCTGGATATCTGTTATACTGTCCCACTCTTATTAAATTCTCCTGTCGCGTACTTTACTTGATTAAACCCTTTTAACCCCATCTTTACTCAATTAAATCCTTTTGACCCCTCTCTTTATTCATTAACCTTTCTGTGCCTCCCCATATCTTTACTTGATTAAACCATTCTGACCCTCCATTGTACTTGTTTGAACCCTTCTAACCTCCTTCTACTCAATTAAAATGTCCCCCCCCCCCCTACTGAATTAAACCCTTCTGACCCCTCCTCTACTTTATAAATACCTCCTGAGCCCCCCTCTACTCGATTAAACTATTCTGGCCCCTCTCTACTCAATTAAACCTTTCTGGTCTCCCTCTCTACTAGATTAAACCCTTCTGTCACCCTTTCTACTCTTTTTAAAGTTTTCTGACACCCCTGTGTTCCTCTTCTAATGTGCTCTTTATTGTTATGTTACAGATCAACTTGGAACATGCTCGTATGCTGATGGATGAAGGCTTCACATTGTCTGAAGCTGAAGGTGCTGGAAGGGTCTTGTTTGACACTCAGCAGCCCGTATCGTGCTGGACTGAGTATGACGGAAAAGTTGAGGTGTGTGTTTCAGTGACTGAGTATTATTAGAACTGTAATCATAGTTCAGTGTGAAAAATTATTTTAAAGTTCAGGTACCATTCCATATAATTTTTCCTTTAATTTATGATGGAGCCGCTAAACTTCATCCATATGAAAAATTAGATAGAATTGATAATACTTGACAAATTTATTTTCTTCTGTTTTGTTTGTGACTGATCAATTTTTGTTTGTTTGAAATATTACTTTATAATTGACTGTATCATAAACCTTCCCTTGCAGGTATGCATTGCCCCAGTTCTGATCTGTACATCAGTTCGGCAAACAGCTGGTGGAGGAGACAACATATCCGCCGCAGGGTTAGTCCTTCAGGTATAAGGAGTAAAAATCTTTGTGGTGTAGAACCAGACGTAGGTATGCTTAACCCTCAGTTTAAAGCATACTGCAGATTTGAGTCTGAGGCACACACGTAAAGATGTGAAAGATTATTTTTGTTAATCTAAAATGATTTTATATACTGTAATTTATTTCTACCAATTAATTAAGGTAAATGTGCCACACATTCCCAGTGAGAATTGTAACACGCTGAACAGGTTATTCCTATAACTTATTTAAATTGTACACACGACATGTATTGAAGTGAGAATTATACCCCAGGTTGAATTTTATGAAGAACTAACACTCACATTTATATTTTTTTAACTTAAAAGAAAAAAACTTTGTTTCCTAATATTGGTATAATTATTGTACTTTGTTGTTTGTATGATGATGGTTGGATCCAGTTTTGAAAGGGATGGTTAGAGAAGGAAAGTGCCATAGAGCTTTTGTCAGTGATAGTGAGAGTGCACAATTTTTGTGGGAAAAATAAAAAAGTATTGAGGTGTAGGAGTGTACACCCACTAAGTTGTGTGTTTATGGGACCATTTAAACATTTCCATTTGACAGGTATAAATGACGCTTTCAAATGTATTTTGCATATACTGTAATTTTTAACTTGCAGTAGTGTGTGTGTGTGTGTGTGTGTGTGTGTGCAGTCCTTCGGTGAATGGAGGTTTACCAAGTAACACTTTATATCATACAAATGCAAGTTTCTTGATTTATCTCAATATTTACAGACAAAATCTTTACAAATAAATATATCGATACTTAATCAAATGAGGTAGGGATACATCCTGATTTAAGACACAAAGAAAGTCATCTGGAGGTTCTACGTTTAGTGACTTTTACACTAGTACTCTGCCTCGATTCTGCTTCCATCCCCCTCCCTTTAATAGCCACAATGTTAAAGAACAAAATGTTAGTTTCCAGATAGAAATTGCTTCAACTCCAGATTATGGGCGAGTACAAATCTAACAGCATCTGAAAATGTGTTGTTATTATGTCAGAGAGAGTATACTCTAGAAACAGTACTTTAACTTCTCTTAAATTTATTGCCATTTATAGGTACTGCAGCTATATTTGACTAACATCATATTCTTGATATACACTACCTGTATTGGCACAAGCCGTTTATCCCTTAACCGGACAACTTTGAATTCACAATAAATTTTTATCCTGAAGCCATGTTTAGCTATAGAGTAATGTAATTTTCACTCAAGTTAATTTCGTTTCTTTCCTCAATTTCCATAGTTCCTTGCTATCCTCTGTTAAGGACAGCTCAGTGGTTAGTCACATTTTTGTGCAAATATTTGTTGTTAGTACCTGAAACCTCATTAAATTCTTTCCCCCACCCACCCAAGTCCTTAATCTGTCGTATTTGGATATTTTAGTCATTTCCTTAAGTGTCAGGTTATTCAGTCAGTTCCTTAAATATAAGATATAGTAATTCTGAATACTGTAATCTCAAGTGACAGTTTATTTAGCAGTTTCCTTGATTGCCAGTCAATTCAGTCATTTCCTGTAAGTGTAAACAAAAAGAACAGCTATTTGTGGAACATAACTAAATACTATATGGGCTAAGTAAAGAAGGTTTCAAATCCTCTTAATGCCTCTATTTTTCAAATATTTTTTAATTTTCTTTTTATGTTATTTTAGAAGAAAATTGTTAGTGCCATCATTTATCTATGGTTCTTTGCATTCCTTTTTTTTTTATTACTCATTACGGATTCGTCCCTGTAATGAGTTTGTAGGCTCACTCCCATTGGAAGGGCCAAGCTCTGTCATGTCTCATTCTGGGTGTCATAACGGTCTTTCCTAGGGTGCAATAAAATACTTAACGATTTGCTCACTACATGGTATAGAGATAAGTTAATACAAACAAGTGGCAAATATATTTAGAATATACCATATATATATAATATAGTTTTTTTTATAAATATTTTTAATATTTCAATAACTAATCTTAAATTGGTACTTGAATTTGTGTAGTTTTATCAGTGGGATGGGTTTAGGACCTGAGCCTTACAGAATTTTGCATTTTTTAGAGGTTTTGTTTATCATGTGTGAAGGTCTTTGTATAATGTAACATTAGTCACAATAAAAATAATAATTATATGGTATTTGTCACAGCTTTCATTAGCTTTCTCACTTTATTTCAGATTTTTGTTAAGTTTTTGGTGTATGTATGTATGTGTGTGTGTGTATATATATATATATTTATAAATATATATATTTATATATCAAATATATATACAGACACATACATATACATACTGTATCTATTGTATTAACTGAATATGGGTGACAGTAAAATAATGCCTAATTAGACGAGTTATACTATGTTCATGTCAGACTTTTAAAACTTCATTATAATGATAAGAGTAAGGGAAAATTGAGTTTTCTTATAAACAAAAATTATAATAAAAATTATTTGCTGGCTACTTGTCAATGTTGAGAACAAGTTCTTGTAGAGTCATTGATTAATGTATTTCTGGCATGACTACATCTGGAGTCAATAATTTAATATTTATTTAATATTTATTCAGTATACAAAAGTCATAGATGTTTTACATGATTATAGAGTAGATGTCTCACGTGCCAAATTTATTGGTTTCTTTTGTTAACTTATAAGATGTTTATATTTTGGTGATTAGTGATTTTGTTTTGGTGATTATTATGTATTTTTGTAATAAACCCAGTGATTAGAGAGTTGCAGATAATTGTGGAACACAACTTTTGTAGATTTGTAGTTTAAATGAAGAGAATTATATCAAGATTTAAATCCTATGACCTCACTTTTTTCATACAATGTTTATGGTGTGGGCGAGCACTTGGAGAACATTTATCGATCTATTGAGAAAAGTACTCGTTCGTTTTAAACATTTTCATTCAACACACACTAAAAATAAGCCATTATTCATGATTAATATACATTATGTACTACAGTGAACAATTTCAACAGATAAGAATAAACTTATTGTTGAAATTTGTCCTTTTTAGATACCCCAGACACTAAAGAGTATAGCAGAAAACAAGGACTGTACTAGTGTTGGTCAAATATTGTATTGGTGGTAAAAATCATTCAATAATGTCAAGTGTCGTGCGATGTAATGTCGTAAGTGAGCTTACGAGTATTTTCTTGAAAGCACTCCACACTCCAGCAGATTGGAGAGCAAGCTCCGACCCCCTTAGATGATGATGATGGGCATGGATGTGTGGTGATGTTAGTGTTATGTAATTCTGTGGAAAAGCAGCATAAAGGATGGGAGACTAAATATAAACTAATATTTCATATTTGTCTGCTCAGCTGATATCAATCTTGCCATGTTATCACCTGCCAATCATTGTACACTTGCAGCACTTTTAAAATGTTTACAATTAGCATCCGTTTCCAGTTGCGGTAAACTATGAAGCCTTTTTAATTAGGGTCACACAAACTCTGGAATAGGTAATCAAGTTATCCACGAATGTGCTGGTACTTTTCAATTCTTTGGTTTTCAGTGCAAAATAATTGCAGCGTGAATGTGACAAATTTAACTATTCTTCAAACTGGGAACAAATGCATTTTTCTCCTTTCACATTTATTACTGAAGTTGTAAAACACTTAATTCATCTGTAGATATAAACAGGCTAATGTTTCTCAATTACAGACTGAACAATCAAAACAATGAGAAATTACTGTGTTAATTGTAAATATCCACTGTGCTTCACTACACCATTTATAATTATACAACACAATTGTGTTCAAATTTGTTTGAAACTCGAGTCATTGTTATATGTTGGGAGGGAAAAAATTTCCACAAAATATTCAAATAAAATGATGCCCTTTTTTCAGATTGTTTAATTTGCCTTGATTTATAGCATTTATGCGTGTTAGTGTAAACTCGCCTAAGAAAATAAGATCTGACACAGCTATACATTTAGTTATCTCTAGAGGGAATGGTAACACCACAGTATACTTACTTTACTAAAGTATACTTTACTGTAGATCTCATCACAAGTACAAGTATCTTAATAGATGAGTATTGTTCAAAGTTCAACATTGTTAGCCAGTGAACTGCTCCAAATTTATCTTTAATAGTAGTGAACAAAGGAAATGTTCCAAGATATGACAGTGGGAGGCAGCTTCATACACGGTCTCACATGTAGTCATGCAGCCCATCCTCCTGTTTTGGTAGTGTTTATAGTAAGTGTTCAGTAGTGTTTATAAGTAAGTAATATCTGCTGCCTGGGTAACAGCTTCTCCCTCAAATCAACCTATCCAGGTCTCTGGTCTGGTGAGGCCACAAAAGACCAGACGCCACTCCATACTCTCCTGAGACTGATGGATGCCTACACTACTACTACTATAGTAACATTGAGGACCATAGTACATATACAGTACCAATGTACAATGCATATTAAAAAGTAGCAGTTGATACTACAGTATTGTATTTGGACAAACCAGAAAAGATTTTCTCTGTTGCAAAGAAACTAACCTAACCTTCCTAGGCCTAATACACGATATCCGAGGCCTAATATAGTACGTGTTTGGGCTATACTAGGCCAAGGAATATTTGTTTATTTTTTTAGCTTTATTTTTCGAACTTTGAAATCAATAGTACCAAATTCTATCCAATTGCTTATTACGTCAATCTTTGTACTATGGTACACTCAGTGACAAAAACTAACATCTAAACAGGAGGATGGGTTGAGTTATGACATCAAGAGGCTTGGGAATCTGTATACTTGTCAATTGCAGGTAGTGAGGTGGGACCTGAGAGCTTAAGCACAACCCCTGAATGTATAGTTTGGCAAGTACACAATATCCGATTAGTTAATGGAATGAATGCTGCCTTGAATAACATTAAATTAAAAACAGGAAAGGTGACCATTATTAAACTTGTGACTTACTACAGAAAATGACAATGGTAGTGAATACAAACTTTATTTTGGGTACACTTTAATTAATTATCTAACACTAGATGTTACGTATTTTTCAAAGTTAATCCAAGCGTAGTGCAGGACGAGTCTCTGTCAAAAACGTTTATCTCGGCTAACTGGTCAAAACTGTGGCTTCCACCTATTTGACTGTTTGGCTGTAATATATATATATTATTTTGTATTTTCTAAATTGGCATATATGGTAACCAGGTGTAGAAATGAGGCCAGTGGCTGTATATTTGTTAAAAGGGCTTAAAGGAACAAACTTATGTAAGATACAGTGCTGTGCTTTAACAAAATTTAATGTTTGATAAGCTAATATGACCACAAGTTTTTGTATAAAGTACAAGGCTTCTGTTAATAGCATAGGTATAAAAATGAGCAACTGATTACAACTTTATTTAGTTATTTACAGAAAAACTCATTTTGACAAACTCTATACAGTCAAGTTAGAATCCATTACATAATTTAGTAGCGATGCCAACTTGCAAACTTCACAAATCATCACGAACCTGGAAAGCAAATGAAAAATTCCCATATTAAAAAAGATATCTATTTTACCAATAATTTAATATCATGACTGATTTGGTAAATGTTGGAATATTACAGCCCCATACAATATCTGAATAAATTCTAAGATAGGAATAAATCACAAACGAGTACCAACCCTAAATCCTGGTCCTGGTGGGGGTGTAGTTAGAGAAGTGAGACCTCCGACTGGTTCCGCAGCAAAACGGCCATTTCGTGGGCCAGCTTTAGGCTTCTTCCCAGCAGCTAAGGTGTCTAGAATTTCCTGAGCGTCTGCTACCTCAAGATCTTCCTGTAGAAAGAAAACATGAATATAAAATACATTACAAGAGTAAACACATGAAAGCATGAAGGACTTTCAGACCTGCCTGAATTATGGTAAAGTTGAGTACTTGAGACTTGAGTACCAGACTGCCTGGTATGTATTTGACAGAGGGGTGGCTCAGAATATGGTCCTACAGCCACAAATATTTTTCCTACGGCCAACACGTGGCAAAATGGTATAGGGGGTGTGAATCTAATTCCATTTTTTTTAACGCACTTGCCATTTAATTTTTATGTCTGTTATAAGCCTCGGTGCTATATTTATGAATATATTGGACACGCAGAATAAAAATGATGGCAAAACTTTAAAGAACAAACGAGATACTGGTATTGTATAAATTATACATAATGTTTTACTTTCCTAAAAAAAAATTGTACTAAGGACAGGCTTTGATCAAACACATTCCTTCAATTATTTTTACTACAATAATACAACATTTTTACAAATAAATATACACTGTACTGTATATTCAAATATTCAGGATTTCCCATTGCTAATTAACATTAACAAATATTCTGAAATATCTAGTGTAGTTTCTATGCATTTATTAGGCAGAATTCTGCACTTTAACTAATTAATAGTAGTGAATAACTTCAGTCAAAACACTAAGTCAAAGGTCTATCCTATCATCATTAACCAAGTACAATAATAATATCCATGGTAAAATGAATTTTTTTTATGATACTTACATAATAATCATCATTTATCTGAATCATGGGTGCATTAACACATGCTCCAAGACACTCCACCTCTGAAAGTGTGAAGAGGCCATCTTTGGTTGTCTCTCCTGGCTGAATGCCAAGCTTGTCTTTGACAGCTGCCATAATGTCATCTGATCCTCGTAGCCAGCATGGGGTGGTGGTGCATACTTGTAAGTGGTATTTGCCTACAGGATTTCTGAAACAATGTAAATCTCGTAATAAATGAAATACTTACAGTGTAATTAAGTACACACACAAAAAAATGCCAGCTGGACACAATATTTAGAAAGTGTGTTTGGACAATTATTCGATAACCATTCAGTCTTTATGACCCCTTCGAGGGGAACATTTCTAGAAGAAAAAGGCATTGAAAATATATAGTAAATTGAAGATGTGGGTTTCTATATCACAATTTTTTATGACAAGAAGTATTTATAAACACAGTAAACACACTTAGTCGAAGGGTGTGTGTATGACTTTGCAAAATAAGATAACTACCTCATAAACATAGTGTAAAAAGTTGCAACTTCGTACACTCTCATCCTTGGCATATCCAACAGCTTTGCCACGACATGCATAGCCGTTATTGGCAGCCAGTTGCCAACCTGTCGCTGTGCCAAATCCAGCAAGGGAATAACTGCAGCTTTTTTATGACCATCTGGGTAGATCGAGATGATGGCCTTGGCTCGCTGCAAACATCGTTCAAGGAATTACTGAGAAAATATTTGTAATGTATAGATATTGTGTAAGAGAACTACTGAGAGATTAAAACTAGTATGTAAGATTATTGCACAATTAATAAAGTTAAAGTTCCCATTATTCTGAGGTGAAAAACAAGGTAAAAATAAAGTTTATAATGAGGCAAATGTACTTTTTAAGGATGTACACTGCAACTTATTTAATTTGAGAAAATATATTTAGACATTTAATTAATCCTACTGATGTGATTTCTTACACGTGGGTAAATGGCACAGTACTTTATGAAAGGCATGGCCTTTTTTTCTTTCCTTTGTTCTTTTCATACAAACTGAAGGATTTATGGGAACAAGATCACCTGTTTCCCAAAAGTTTTTGTAAAGAATGTATTGTCATCTTGAATGTTTCAATACCAAAGTCATCAGAAAAGAAGACAATGGGCAAGCAGAATATAATTTACAAAGTACTTCTGATCCATATAGTGTAAACATATGACTATCACGAGGTTCACTAGACTGGTTTTGTTGTCAGCTGGATGTCAACCTAAACAAGACCAAGAAAAAGTAATGTGTCAGGAGTCGGAACAGTTTGTTAGAACTATAAATGACAATCATAGCGACTACTGATTCTCGGTCCCCAAACCCAAGCATATGTAGGGTCATGCATTAAACATTAATCAATTACCGATTTCACTGCTTGATAGAAACCTGTAATATGATACACAATAAAATCTCCATTTAAGCCTATTAAAAATGTTCTAATTAATTACCTCATTCACCTGTACTGTACACTGTGCTTACCTTTAAATTGTCTGGGGTAAACTCAAATGGCGTGTCAATATTGTTCTTTTCTGTATCCTTGTGCTGTATAGATTAAATATACAATTATTATAAAACTGAACATGAAGATTAAAGCTAACTGATCTCTTTTTAGAAATGTAAACATCCTTATAGATGAGGTAATTGCCAAGAAAGGCTGGGAGGCCAGCCTGCAAGAATAGAATTATCAAAATTGTCAACATATAATATGCAGATTAATGGTTTTTTAGTCAAACTGTTTAATTAATACTATAATAATATTGTATACGAACACAAGTATATGGTTGTAAATTTCAAGACACAATGTTGTTATACTCACGACAAAGAGTACATCACTACAGACAGCAGTACTGCGGTGGATGTGACGCACACCCCTCGCCTATGAAATACAGTACAAATGCTGATTATGGTTTCTTATACTAATGATTTTTTGGTGTACATTTATTAACAGACAATACAATACATTAATACTGAACACATGAATCTACTATATAGTTGTCTATACTAATGTTGCCTTAATAACCAACTTGTCAATGTTTGAGAACTTATGTACAAGAATTTCATCTTATAGCATACACTGCAATGCTCATATTAAATACATACCAGTACTTTACAGCCCATAAATACCTTTCACTATAATGTATAACCTGTTTATTCTGAAGTGCCTTTCCTTGATGTGGTGGTAGGCAGAATCCTCCTCACATTTCAATAACTAATTGTTACATCTTTTTGTAAATGCTTTTGAAACATATTCACAAGAATTATTCAACTGTTTAATCATTTCTTTATCCATAAAAATAAATTATAGAATGAACAATATGCAGATAAACAATTACAGATACCATGTGCCACAGTGCTTGCAGCATTTGATAAGAAGGTACTATATGTGATACAGTATCTGGAATACTGCACAGTACTGCTTTATAATGTATGCTTATTAAACGCAGTATACAGAATCAGGATGAGTTGTCTTATTTCCAATCATTACCTTCTACTTAATCATGTCCTGGATATTCTGTATGAATTAGATTACAGTTAGCTTATGTAGCACCAATCTGAAATGAGGTTTATATCAGGTTTATATCACCAAACCAATTAATACAAGAGTGGTATTACACTGACATATTGACTAGTATAATGCTAGTAGCTAGCATTATAATCTAACTATGCATCGAACTCAAATTGTTCCCAAGTATACTATGTTCTTGATAAATGCTGTTTTCCTATTGAAAAGAGTGGTAGGGTGGGAGGGGGACAAATTCATTCACAAAATATTAGGCTAAATGGTACTGTAAATGGACTGTTTTTGGTCAAATAAAGGTTTTTATGAGTTGATATTGGATATATACAAAATATTTTTGGGAAATCATATAATATGAATGCAAAGAAAAAGTGTTTATCTATAATATAAATAAAATCATCACAATCCAGTCTGCAGATGACAGATGCAAGTCACATCATATCTCATACAGATTTTAAAATCTACATAGCCTTACCAAGAGAGAGAGAGAAACTATCAGGAGAATGTGCCAAGCCATTACGACTATATAGCACTTGGAAGGGGTCAGAATAAGGATTTGAGATGGGATGGGGGGAGGGGGAAGGGATGGTGTCCAACCATTTGGACAGTCGGGGACTGAGCGCTGACCTGCATTAAGCAAGACCGTCGCTCTACCGTCACTCTACCGTCCAGTCCAAGTGGTTGGACTATAGCCTTACCAAATCTAACCTACCTCAACTGTACCTAACATAACCTAACCTAAATATATATATATATATATTTATACAGTATATATATATACTGTATGAAGCTCTTGACAACTGGAAAACAAGCGTTGCCAAAATGCCTGAGTAAGGCTTAACTGTACCCCAAAGAGAAATCAGTTCCTAACATGGTTCACCAACGAATTTTAAAACCTACCTAACCTTATCCAACTGAGCTAGTGCAGTCAAACCCAATAACATATATACATATACATTTTATTGTCTACACAGACAGGGTCAAAGAGACGTGTTAAAGATATTGTGTGTCTGGCCGGCCATCACCGGGGCAGCTGTCCTCCATCTTCCTTCCTTCCCAAATGTCACGAGTAAATCATCTTAGGGCACCCATAGGTAATTAGCAGTAATGAGGAGCACTTCTCACGCACCGCGGAAGAGGAGAGAGTCTTGGCCAGTAAGGAGAACATCTTCACAGGTTCCTTGTGATGGTGATCAGCTGTGGCGCCACCTGTGCTGCCATCTGGCGCAAGTTTACCGCACTACAACTGTTTACATTGTTTATTTGTATTTATTTATATAAATATATATATTTATACAAGAAGGTACATTGGGTTTATGAGAGTATATAGCATTGATGTTTTTACATTCCTGTAAAGCCACTAACGCGCATAGCGTTTCGGGCAGGATTTATTGGACTTTATTAGACACTCGCCCTGTGAATTAACAGTTTACTCAGCCTTTAATTTGTTATTTGTAAACTGAGAAGCGGATTTTTTCTTCCTAATATATATATCGGATCAACATATTACTTCAGTGTTGTGTTTTATAAGTAAATTTTGTTTACACACCTGTATATATGTACTTTTTTAAATAATTAAAATCACATATATGTGCCGGAGCATGCATAAGGAGGTCTGAATAAAATGTTCACATATAGTATTTAAATTATCTTTATTATGTTAGAGGAACACCGGTATTAAATCAAGGTATTATAGCGACTTTGATCCAACATATTACTATGCATTGTCATGCATTCCTTATGAGAAAAGGGCAGACGGTAGCATAATTTTGATATAGTAATATCTCCGTGAAAAGCCAAACCAAATTAAAAAAGAGCTAGTGTTTATTGAAGTATACCTTCAATTAAGGATTTAGGATTAGGATGCTAATGGCTTTACAAGAATGTAAGAACTCTCCATTCACCGTATGGGTCTCGAACCGTAAAATTATGCGTAAGAACTCTTATCTTGTATATATATAAATATATATATACAAATATAATTATAAATATACTCACATACAAAAAGAACAGGGGTGGTAGGAGAAAATATCAAACTGTTCAATGAGGATCCACAAGATCTTCTCTTGAGTACTCTTTACTTTCTTCTCTGAGGCTATGGGTCCCTAAATTTATACCAGAGATGGTACCCCTATATATATATATATATATATATATAAAATATATAATATAAATTTTTTGTTTTGATTCCCTGTAGTGCATATATGTACGAAATAGTTACCAAATACGAAACATAGTGGGCGTTTTTGGGAACTACGGAATGTTCGTAACATGGTAAAGTCACGAGGTTTGTGTCAGCTTTACTCCATAATAAAGCCACTCCGGACAGAGGGAAAGCCTGGTATATATCCCCCAAAAACACGAGAATATACCATATATGCCAAGGAGCAGCACCATCAGCTCGACTAATCAATCCTAATTTAATAAATGGCCGAGGTACGTAGCTCTGTTGTATGATGGTGTTTGAATATATATATATATATATATATATATATATATATATATATATATATATATATATATATATATATATATATATATATATATATTGGTAATGTTTTTTCTTCGTGTGTGTATTGAGGATTAATTTTCAAAGCATGGTTGTATAGTTAGGATGGTAAGTGGTGTGTGTTGTGGTTTTATTTCAGCTGAACTGTTGCATATTGATTTATTTGTTAAGTGCAGTCTATGGTCTGATCTGACCTGCAATTGTAGCAGGTCAAATTGCCCTATTTACAATGTACATTAAATTGTAATTTACGACGATAACATAAAATAACCATAATAATGTATCCTAACTTATAATGACCATACTAATGTATGCTAACCAATAATGACCAAAGTACTGTAGTATACATTAAGGGGCCTGATGGCTGAGTGGACAGCGCTCGGGGTTCGTAGTCCTGAGGTTCCAGGTTTGATCCCCGGTGGAGGTGGAAACTAATGAACAGAGTTTCTTTCACCCCTGATGCCCCTGTTCACCTAGCAGTAAATAGGTACCTGGGAGTTTGACAGCTGCTACGGGCTGCTTCCTGTGGATGTGGAACAAAAAAGAGGCCTGGTCCAGGACCGGGCTTCAGAGACGCTAAGCCCCGAAATCATCTCAAGATAACCTCAAGAAGATACTGTAGCATACATACAGGCTTACTGTAGCATACATACAGGCTTACTGTAGCATACATATAGGCTTACTGTAGCATACATGCTTACTATAGCATACATATAGGTTTACTGTAGCATACATGCTTACTGTAGCATACATACATTCATGTACTTTCATAAAACAGTACATGGGCACATATTAGGACGTTATTTGAGCAGTCAGCTTTTTGTGTATTTAATGGATGTAATTAATTGCTCAACATATTGAAGAGCTGTTTGATTAAACTGATATTATCATTGTTTATCTATGTTGCCATATGATTGCATCCAATTCTACCAGCTGCACTCCATCTTCTTCTTGAGGTTATCTTGAGATGATTTTGGGGCTTAGCGTCCCTGCGGCCCGATCCTCAACCAGGCCTGCAACATCCAGCTACAAACTCTTTAACATGAGGGGCTAACATTATCACTGGGTTTCAGATTTATTACCTACAGTACTGTGAAAATATTATATAATGATAATTTGAATGTTTTTGCTATATATTTTGATGCAGAGTTGAATAAAAGAGGACTGGTAAGTTATTGAGATAGATATTTACCACATACATAACTGTGCTATTTGGTCTTTTCAGGAGATGAAGAAATATCTACATGACTTGATGAACAGGTAAGTTTTTATTTATTTATTTATATTTACTGTACAAGAGTTCTTATGTTCTTGCAAAGCCACTAGTACGCACGTCTTTAATCCTAATTTTTCCCAAGAGTACGACCCTCCATATTGTTTAACAATCGAGTACCCATTCACTGCTGGATGAACAGAGGCTACATTAAGAATTAGTGAACAGTAAATCCTCCGCAGCCAGGATACAGAGTTGCTCGCGACGTGCCGAGCGAGTGTTTTACTACTGCACCACGAGGACTGCATGGTTGCTATGCTATGATTTTCTTGTTTAGCAATGACTTAATGTTATTTTCACTGATACCATCATGCAGTATTGGTTCATGGACAGTAGTACAACATCTTGCATTTAGCCTCAAAACACCAATAGGCACTTCAGAGATGTCTAAAAAAAAAAAAAAGCATAGCATCACTTGCAGAGTTTATATATGTACAATCCTTTCTAATTAACCCCATTCACAAATTTATTACTTTGCATTAGAAAAATGGAATAAGTATCTTGTCGATGGATTACTGATAAGCTCTTTATTGCTGTTTATTACTGTACTGTCGTTGATAAGTAATACAGTAGTACTGTAATCACCGCCAGACAGCTGGGTGGACAGCGCTTCGGATTCGTAGTCGTAAGGTACCGGGTTCGATCCCCAGTGGAAGCGGAGACAAATGGGTAAAATGATTCTTTCACCCTAATGCCCCTGTTTACCTAGCAGTAAATAGGTACCTGGGAGTTAGACAGCTGCTACGGCTGCTTACTGGGGATGTGTGTGTGTGTCTGTGTGAAAATTAGGATTAAGGACTTGCCCGAAATGCTATGCATGCTAGTGGCTGTACAAGATTGTAAGAACTCTTGTATATATAAATAAATAAAAATAAAAATATTGAGCTGATTTTGAATCTTGGTAGTGTTTGATTTGATCAGCATTGAACTTGATCATGGAAGAGAACATTCACTGGGTCACTGCAAGGGTTAAACCAGCAGGCTGAGGCACCATATTAGTGCATAAAACTAGTAATGATGATAATAGTAATACAGTAATGTAATTCAAATTCATTTTGTGGGAACTGACAGCCTGTTTCAGTAGTATAGTTGGACTCTAAATTAGGAATTGCATGTTGAAATCCAAGGGTTGGGGGACAGAAATGATTGGGCATGTTTCCTATCATGTGCCTAGCAGTAAATAGGTGTGTGTATGTGTGATATATATATATATATATCTAACCTATGCTGTAATAGGAAAGAGAACAGTATACAGTACTGTTCGTCTGAACTTATTTTAAACTAAACTTTTCTATTTTCAGCACAGAAAATGTGCTTGGTATTGTTGTAACTGATCGTGATGGGGTGCCAATACTAAGAGGTAAGTAACAAAGCTGAATAGCATAAAATGACAAATATTTTAGATACAGGAATATTGAGACAATTTTTTAACAAGCCACTGGTACAGTGTATGCTGTCTGTCGAAGCCATTAGAGATGGTGACTTATGGGTTAATTCAGATAAAATATTTTACTGTACATAAATATGTATAGAACATCAAAATGCTGCTCTGTATTAAATAAGGCATAACTCTGATTTTAGAAACAAAGATTTTTACATTAATATTTGGCATAAAAGAAGTCTGATATAGCTTTAATGTAGTTAGTAGATGATCAATTTACACTGAATGTTCCTGTGATGAAAATATTTCTCTTTTGAACAAATAATTTATTAACCTGAACTTGCTTGTAAGCATGTTGGCAGATATGAACTTGGATGTAAATCTTTGGGCAGACCTGAGATTGCATAACAGCTCTTAGCCCGTAAAAATACAGTAAATCTCTAATTCATTCAAGTTCCAGTGCTAAAAAAGTGTTGATAATAGGAATTTGTGGAAAGTGGAAAGCATGCAATGTTGTTTGTCATTCTAAGGCTTAGTCAAAGGTTGCAGTCATTGCAAAAGCTATTACAAAATATAAATATTAATATATCATACTGTTTAATTTGGCCATGTTTTGAAGGAATTCAACAAGTCCTTATGTCAGGTTTATAAGATGGGATATTATTTAAAGAAAAATGTATAGAACTTGGATCATTAAACATTTATAGGTTGCCATTTGTCTGAAAGTTCATTTTAAGTCTCTTTCTTTTGGAAAGTTCTGTTTCTTGAGGGATTTCTACATGTGAAAATTTTTCAGACATTGTTTCTGCAATTATGTGTTTAAGGTTTTAAAACATATACAAAATATTATGTGAAAATCTAATTTTTGTGTATAGACCTGTAATGGGGTGAGCAGTAAATTAATGTAGTATTTTGCACTGTGCATAAAGTACTAATACATATTTTGTATGTTCAGTTGCAGCTGATGATGTACCAGAACTGGCAATGCGACCAAACTTTATCTCAACTTTTAGTATGGCCACAGACCAGGCTGGAAAACTTGGCATGGGCAAGAATAACAAGATGGTGTGTATATATGGAAACTATCAAGTAAGTTGTTAATGTATTATAAAAATATATAGCTGGCCCAGTTGACATCTTGTATTATAATGAAGGATATATAAGAATCATCCTAATCTCTACCGTGATTCATAAATCATAGCAGTCTGAATCGAACGGTATTCCCTGCCTTGGAAACCTTCAATGCTTTCCTAATGCTTTAATTTCCTATTTGTATTTGCAGTTGGAACAGTTGCCTTCATGATAGTCTTTAGACTGGTCTAGTCAGAACGTAACAGCAGCATGGCTGGATATTGAACAAAAATATTATCCATCACAGGTTGCTGATTGAAGGTTATCATTTCAATGCCAGTCGAGTCATATTAAATTGGAGACAAGCCACACGAACTATATCAAGCAATTATATAGGATTATTGTATTATGCATTGTAGTATAAGAATTCAGTTTAATAATGATAGTATATGCCTTAGCTCCTTCTGGTACAAAAAACTATATGCAGAAGTGTGAAGAGAGATCAACCTTACAAGTTAATGTGCTTCAAAAAATAAAGCTGGGTTGGTGAATAGGTGAAAGCCAGGTACACACATAGGAGGCATTCTTGTAGTATCTGGGCTGCCAGTTGGAAAAGATAGCCCTCTCACCATGGAGAGCTGGGTTTATCAGAAAACCTACTACATAAGGGTTGGACTCCTAGTCAGTGAATAATGTCTTCGTAGATATTTGTTAATAAGACTTTCCAATCAAAATAACTCGGTTTAAATAATTGTTATCAAGCTGCTGGAGAAGTGCTACAAAGATTTTAACATGTGATCTAACTTCTTGCTATTTGGGTAGGAATTTTTTTATTGTCATTTACTCTGTATGATTTAGTGTCAAAAAATTATAGGAAACATATGTTAAGGGTTAAATTGATTTTTTCAATGCATGTTTGATGGTTTTCTGATAAGTTAAACTATTTTGAAGAGCTGAAATGGTTTGTCATTTAAATAAAAAATATTATTATTGTACTGTAGTCTGACGCGACACGGGCGCGTTTCGTAAAACTTATTACATTTTCAAAGACTTTAGTTCACAAATACACAACTGAATAGAACTTACGTATCTCCGATTTTATATCTACATTTGAGTGAGGTGGAAGGGGTGATGTGGCATTAACACAAGACAGAACAAAATGTGGTATTAATAGGGTATTAATTTCATCAACACAAGACAGAACAAGAGTATTAATAGGGTATTAATTTCATCAACACAAGACAGAACACGAAGCAATGGATATTGAATAGAAGTGTTTGTAGAAAGCCTATTGGTCCATATTTCTTGATGCTTCTATATTGGAGCGGAGTCTTGAGGTGGGTAGAATATAGTTGTGCAATAATTGGCTGTTGATTGCGGGTGTTGACTTCTTGATGTGTAGTGCCTTGCAAACGTCAAGCCGCCTGCTATCGCTGTATCTATCGATGTTGTCTGTGTGTTTCTGTGTTCATCGATAGATACAGCGATAGCAGGCGGCTTGACGTTTGCGAGGCACTACACATCAAGAAGTCAACACCAGCAATCAACAGCCAATTATTGCACAACTATATTCTACCCACCTCAAGACTCCGCTCCAATATAGAAGCATCAAGAAATATGGACCAATAGGCTTTCTACAAACACTTCTATTCAATATCCATTGCTTCGTGTTCTGTCTTGTGTTGATGAAATTAATACCCTATTAATACTCTTGTTCTGTCTTGTGTTGATGAAATTAATACCCTATTAATACCACATTTTGTTCTGTCTTGTGTTAATGCCACATCACCCCTTCCACCTCACTCAAATGTAGATATAAAATCGGAGATACGTAAATTCTATTCAGTTGTGTATTTGTGAACTAAAGTCTTTGAAAATGTAATAAGTTTTACGAAACGCGCCCGTGTCGCGTCAGACTAGAAATAAAATGAATTTTGGAGAATTGATTTTTGATTTACCTCCAACAGTGAAGCGTAATGTACGAAAGATTGAGAAAATTCGTGTTAGAATTATTAATCTTACTTTTTCGGTCATATTTAATAATATATGTCTACAGGAAAGACTGCTACCAAAATATACTAATATATATATATATATATATATATATATATATATAATATATATATATACGGTATATATTATATATATATATATATATATATATATATATATATATATATATATATATATATATATATATATATATATATATATAATATATATATCCTATGCTGTAATAGGAAAGAGAACAGTATATAGTATTGTTCGTCTGAACTTATTTTAAGCTAAACTTTTCTATTTTCAGCACAGAAAATGTGCTTGGTATTGTTGTAACTGATCGTGATGGGGTGCCAATACTAAGAGGTAAGTAACAAAGCTGAATAGCATAAAATGACAAATATTTTAGATACAGGAATATTGAAAAAATTTTTTAACAAGCCACTGGTACAGTGTATGCTGTCTGTCGAAGCCACTAGAGATGGTGACTTATGGGTTAATTCAGATAAAATATTATACTGTACATAAATACGTATAGAACATCAAAATGCTGCTCTGTATTAAATAATGCATAACTCTGATTTTAGAAACAAAGATTTTTACATTAATATTTGGCATAAAAGAAGTCTGACACCTTTAATGTAGTTAGTAGATGATCAATTTACACTGAATGTTCCTGTGATGAAAATATTTCTCTTTTGAACAAATAATTTATTAACCTGAACTTGCTTGTAAGCATGTTGGCAGATATGAACTTGGATGTAAATCTTTGGGCAGACCTGAGATTGCATAACAGCTCTTAGCCCGTAAAAATACAGTAAATCTCTAATTCATTCAAGTTCCAGTGCTAAAAAAGTGTTGATAATAGGAATTTGTGGAAAGTGGAAAGCATGCAATGTTGTTTGGCATTCTAAGGCTTAATCAAAGGTTGCAGTCATTGCAAAAGCTATTACCAAATATAAATATTAATATTTCATACTGTTTGGTTTGGCCATGTTTTGAAGGAATTCAACAAGTCCTTATGTCAGGTTTATAAGATGGGATATTATTTAAAGAAAAATGTATAGAACTTGGATCATTAAACATTTATAGGTTGCCATTTGTCTGAAAGTTCATTTTAAGTCTCTTTCTTTTGGAAATTTATATTTCTTGAGGGATTTCTACACGTGAAAATTTTGCAGACATTGTTTCTGCAATTATGTGTTTAAGGTTTTAAAACATATACAAAATATTATGTGAAAATCTAATTTTTGTGTATAGACCTGTAATGGGGTGAGCAGTAAATTAATGTAGTATTTTGCACTGTGCATAAAGTACTAATACATATTTTGTATGTTCAGTTGCAGCTGATGATGTACCAGAACTGGCAATGCGACCAAACTTTATCTCAACTTTTAGTATGGCCACAGACCAGGCTGGAAAACTTGGCATGGGCAAGAATAACAAGATGGTGTGTATATATGGAAACTATCAAGTAAGTTGTTAATGTATTATAAAAATATATAGCTGGCCCAGTTGACATCTTGTATTAAAATGAAGGATATATAAGAATCATCCTAATCTCTACCGTGATTCATAAATCATAGCAGTCTGAATCGAACGGTATTCCCTGCCTTGGAAACCTTCAATGCTTTCCTAATGCTTTAATTTCCTATTTGTATTTGCAGTTGGAACAGTTGCCTTCATGATAGTCTTTAGACTGGTCTAGTCAGAACGTAACAGCAGCATGGCTGGATATTGAACAAAAATATTATCCATCACAGGTTGCTGATGGAAGGTTTTCATTTCAATGCCAGTCGAGTCATATTAAATTGGAGACAAGCCACACGAACTATATCAATATAGGATTATTGTATTATGCATTGTAGTATAAGAATTCAGTTTAATAATGATAGTATATGCCTTAGCTCCTTCTGGTACAAAAAACTATATGCAGAAGTGTGAAGAGAGATCAACCTTACAAGTTAATGTGCTTCAAAAAATAAAGCTGGGTTGGTGAATAGGTGCAAGCCAGGTACACACATAGGAGGCATTCTTGTAGTATCTGGGCTGCCAGTTGGAAAAGGTAGGCCTCTCACCATGGAGAGCTGGGTTTATCAGAAAACCTACTACATAAGGGTTGGACTCCTAGTCAGTGAATAATGTCTTCGTAGATATTTGTTAATAAGACTTTCCAATCAAAATAACTCGGTTTAAATAATTGTTATCAAGCTGCTGGAGAAGTGCTACAAAGATTTTAACATGTGATCTAACTTCTTGCTATTTGGGTAGGAAATTTTTTATTGTCATTTACTCTGTATGATTTAGTGTCAAAAAATTATAGGAAACATATGTTAAGGGTTAAATTGATTTTTTCAATGCATGTTTGATGGTTTTCTGATAAGTTAAACTATTTTGAAGAGCTGAAATGGTTTGTCATTTAAATAAAAAAATATTATTATTGTACTGTATATGTATTTCTGTTAACTTTGACTAAAATTGGTTGAAGTTTGTTAAAAAAAAAATATAAAAATTAACATAAGATTATATGAAATTAAGGAGTTGGGGGTATTAACTAGGGATTTTTCAAAATATGTATTTCCTTCATTCCCATCTAGATACAATAGTTCACTTCAATAAACTACCAATGGTAGCAGCAGGAACGGTAACTACAGTGCAGTATATTTTCCTCATTTCCATCCACAGGTTGTACACTTCAACAAGCTGCCTATGGTGGTGACAGTGATAGCAACCAGTACTGCAAACACTGGATTACTCATGGACATGGACAAGGATATTTCAGCCTTAGTATCCCAGCTCATGCATGTTGTCGATATCTAACATGTTAAGGTTTTCTTTATCAGATATACCGTAATCTCTACTGTAAATGTGTGTTTCTCTCTTATTAAACTGTTATATTATGATCATACTCGTTTCAGTAACTTTTTGTATCATTTTTACACAATATGAAAGTGCATAAATTTACAGTACTGCATACTAATTTTATGAAAGCAATACAAATTCATTTTTTAATTAATATTTGTCATTGGGCATGTATAGGATCACATGGGGGCCCTACTTCAGACCAGTAGAAACCTAGGCAAATATATCCAAAATGAAATTCTAGATGAATTTGCATACTCAATGCATACTACAGCACTCTTCTTTCCAACCAAATTAACATGTAGCACAAAAAGGGACCGTAACATCCAAAACCATGGGACCATCATCCAAAACTTTGCAGTGAAAAGGTAAACATCATGCCCTTCGACATAGTATAGAATCATAAAAAATACCTGGGTATCTTAGAAACACACTAAACATAAAAATAGTCTAGTCATTGCCATGTTTATTTCTAGAACTGGGATACACCAAAGTACTATATCAGCACATGGTTATAAATACAGAACTGACATAAACGAACATTGTTCACTGCTATGTTCCAGAGACACGTGAACATGATCTCATGTATTGCTTCAGACATAGTGCCAGAATCAGTTTCTATCAAAAACTTGTGACCCTTTATAAGTGCCCTACAAGAGCACATATTAGGGAAAGAACACTTTTCACTACATTTAAAATATCAAGTACTGTACAGTATTCCAAGAATTGGTTAAATATCTCCAATTAATAAAAAATTAGACCTATCTGACTAGTCATACAACTTAAACCACCTGGACATTCATATCTAGAAAACATTAACCTTGCAAGATAAAACAGTAACAATTGGCTGACACCATCAATAAAACATCCAACCACTTGACAGCTAAGTGCCAAGAATTCAACCAACTATGACCCACTTATGCAAAAAGTCTAATTTAAAAAACGACATTCAAGTCTTGCCAAATCAACATTAATGAGCCACTACAGTAAGTCTCCCAACAGTATCACTCGTGTAGTGATCGTGAGGAGAAAATAATCACATAAAATGCATTTATTATAGTCATTCACCTAAACCATGCCCTGAAAACTATGTTCTGTATAATTACAAGGAATCCTCATTCTTGAGACAATAGTACAAATGCTATCTTTGACATGGTAAGTCAGTACAGTATTTGTTTAATTCATCTGACAACTGACCAACACTAAATTTTCATTCGATGTAACAAAAATTGGCATTTAAAATTTAATTTATTGTGAGTTTATGATAGGCTTAAGTAAAGTTGGGTTAGGTTGTTATAGTAATATAATATTAATTAAGCAGTACAGTACTTACAAAACAGGCTAGAAATGAATGAAGAATGAAGCACATTTCAAGTCATAGCTTCAAACAAAATCAGTTTGACAGCTAACCACAAGCCTGCATAATACAGTTATTCATAACCTTCTAAATATCTATCTATATCTATCTATACCTATCTATATCTATATCTATCTCTCTCTCTCTCTCTCCATTCATTCATTCTTTCTAACAACTAACATTTCATAATTGTGTTAGTCCATTACAAGGGAGGACTTAGGTGATATTAAATAACCTCACCTGTCACCATGATTACGTTAAGCAAGGACCAAATTATTTAATCTCGCATTCCTGAAAAAATAAGAGATGAATCACGGAAGCCATGATTATATCGTATACATACATGCGTGAGAGACAGGCCATGCATGATTGACATATGCCATACGTGACTGACATGGCCATACGTGCGTGTCATAGGCTATGCGTGAGACCTTGTATGACATAATTCACTGTGTCGGGGGACAGGAAGCCAGAGTGTATTTATTCATTAGGATTTTATCAAGGCCCGAAGGCCAAATTACTGACCTCGCCCAGGATGCAACCCCACAACAAGCTGACCAACTCCTGAGTACCTACGCACTACCAGGTGAACAGTGGCATTGGGTGAAAGGAAATGTACTCAACCATTTCTGTCCCGCTCGGGATTCGAACCCGGAATTTGCGATAGTGCGTAGAGAACGAACCCGACTGTACTACGGGGTGGGCCCTACATACTGGTACACATATGTATATGTATATATACCTATATGTACACATATATATGCACTCATGTGTAAGCGTTATAGGTCATGCAAGAGGGACATAAAGGCTATGCATAACAGATTAAGAACGAGCGGTATTAAACATTCATGCATGCCATAGGTCATACCATGCGTGCCATAGACCATACCATGCGTGCCATAGGTCATACCATGCGTGCCATAGACCATACCATGCGTGCCATAGGTCATACCATGCGTGCCATACACCATACCATGCGTGCCATAGACCATACCATGCGTGCCATAGGTCATACCATGCGTGCCATAGACTATACCATGCGTGCCATAGACCATACCATGCGTGCCATAGACCATACCATGCGTGCCATAGACCATACCATGCGTGCCATAGACCATACCATGCGTGCCATAGACCATACCATGCGTGCCATACACCATACCATGCGTGCCATAGACCATACCATGTGTGCCATACACCATACCATGCGTGCCATAGACCATACCATGCGTGCCATAGACCATACCATGTGTGTCATACACCATACCATGCGTGCCATACACCATACCATGCGTGCCATACACCATACTATGCCTGCCATAGGACGCCAATAAAGGCGCGTGTATAGTCGCAAAATGCAAGTCTTTCAACGCAGAGACTTGTGCTGGGACGTCAGTGAGGGCGTGTGTGTGATGAGGAAAGGTCTGTCAACGTGACAGACTTCATCGTCATACTTATTCTATTAAGGATGATAATATTCTTCCTTCTATCTCCCACCCTCTCGTATTTTCTCTCCTACTTCCCAGTCTTCCTATTTCCTCCTCCCTTCCCTTGCCATTCATCCTAGGTCTCCCTGTTCTTTTCACCCTCCAATTATCTACCATTCTTCATCTCCCTCCCGTATTTCCCATTCTCCTACCCCCCTCCGTATTCTCCCACATTCCCCCTCACCATTCTCCTCCCACCCCCTCCATTTCTCCACACCATTCTCCCTCAGTCTTGTGTCCCTCATGTGAGGGAGGGGGGGACACAAGTCTTGTGAGAGGGAGTGTCTTCTCCCTCTCCCTTCCCATTCTCCCCTCTCCCCCTATCTCCCATTGTCCTTCCTTTATATGTCCCACTCCCTCCAATACTCCCTATGTCCCACTCCCTCCAAGTCTTGTGAGAGGGAGTGTCCTCTCCCCTTCCCATTCTCCCTCTCCCCTTAGTCTTGTGTCCCTCATGTGAGGGAGGGGGGGACAAGTCTTGTGAGAGGGAGTGTCCTCTCCCCTTCCCATTCTTCCCTCTCCCCTTCCCATTCTCCCCTCCCCTCAGTCTTGTGTCCCTCATGTGAGGGAGGGGGGGACACAAGTCTTGTGAGAGGAGTGTCCTCTCCCCTTCCCATTCTCCCTCTCCCCCTATCTCCCATTGTCCTTCCTCCATGTGTCCCACTCCCTCCAATACTCCCTGTCCCACTCCCTCCAAGTCTTGTGAGAGGGAGTGTCCTCTCCCCTTCCCATTCTCCCCTCTCCCTTAGTCTTGTGTCCCTCATGTGAGGGAGGGGGGCACAAGTCTTGTGAGAGGGAGTGTCCTCTCCCCTTCCCATTCTCCCCTCTCCCCCTATCTCCCATGTCCTTCCCCATATGTCCCACTCCTCCAATACTCCCCATCTCCCTATGTCCACTCCCTCCAATACGCCCCCCTCCCTATGTCCCACTCCCTCCAATACTCTCCACCTCCCTATATCCCACTCGCCCTCCAATACTTCCCTATGCTCCACTTCCTCAAGTACTTCCCGTCCTGTCCCACTCCCTCCACCCCCTCCCCCCTATGTCCCAATCTTCCCCCTATCTCCTATTTTCTGTCATCTCCCTCGCATATTTCCCGTCCCACTCTCATTCTCATCCTCCTCCATTATCCTACTTTCCTCTGTCCGTTTCTCTCTTCCCCTTCCATTCTTTTATCCTATTCTCTCATTCTTCCTCTTATTCTCTTAATTCTCCCATTTCAGGCTCTTCACTATTTTTCATACCCATATTTCGTATGGCAGTTTGAACGTGTGAAAAATGTAAGTCGTGCAAATGTAGCACTGTTGGGCTGGGACGCCAATGAGGGCGTGTGTGTGTGATTGAAAGACTGTCAACGCTGAAGGGATGCTGAGGCAGAGACGCCAATGAAGGCGTATGTATAATTGAAAAATGCAATTCTTGCAAATTAGGACTGTTGGCTGGGACGCCAATGAGGGCGTATGTGTGTGAGTGATTGAAAGACTGTCAATGCTGAAGGGATGCAGGACGCCAATGAAGGCGTATGTATAATTGAAAATGCAATTCTTGCAAATGTAGGACTTGGGCTGGGACGCCGATGAGGGCGTATGTTTAAGTGAAGATTGCAAGTCAATGCTGAAGAGCTGCTGAGGCTGGGACGCCAATGAGGGCGTATGTGTGAGTGATTGAAAGACTGTCAATGCTGAAGGGATGCAGGGACGCCAATGAAGGCGTATGTATAATTGAAAAATGCAATTCTTGCAAATGTAGGACTGTTGGGCTGGACGCCGATGAGGGCGTATGTTTAAATGAAGATTGCAAGTCAATGCTGATGAGTTGCTGAGGCTGGGACGCCAATGAAGGCGTGTGTATGACTGAAAAACGCAGGACTGTTGGGATGGATGTAAATGTGGGCGTATGTTGCTAGGAAGATTAAACGTGTGGCAATACAGAAATAATGCTGAGGTTGGGACGCCAATGAGGGCGTGTGTGTGACTGAATATTGCACATCTGGAAATGCAGAAAGGCTGCCAACTAAGACTAGGTTAATTCCTAATGAGTAAGGTCGTGCGGTACCACACCATGGCATGGGATAGGTAGTTTAGGCTTTGGTAGCCTGGCGGTGGCAGGCAGATTTAAATGGGAGGGGAGGGAAGGTTGGGGGGATTTTTTTTTCTTTTTTTTTTTCCTTTTTTTTCCTTTTTTTTTCTTTTTTTTTT